TGAAAGCACTGATGCCTCACAAAGATATAAGCTAGAGCGCAAATACTTGTGCGAGTTCTTCAAGACAGCGTTGACTTCACGGATTATTTGTTGCGATATTTTCGGCTTTATTAGACTGCTTTTGTTGAGCTATGAGTTTTGTTTTTACGAAGGAAAATCATGATCCTACTTTCATAGTAACTCAATGCGCTCTACTGCACAGTAGCGACTGTAACTGTGAGTTGATGAATCTCGATGTTCTATCGATACTTTTAGTGTTGTGTTTTACCTGTAAGCGTATTTTTACAGCATTTAATCAAAATAATCTTGGTTTGTATCTTACTGTAAGTAGATTATCCCTTTATTATTTACAACGTTCTGTTCGTTTACGTTATCCAGGCGCTGTGCGGTCGCGCATAATTGCATTTGGAAAGAGCAAACACGGGTGTTTTTGATGTTCTGTTTCTTGGTCTGAAAAGTTATAAATGTATTGTACACTAGTTGTTCAAAGGTAAAACTGATCATGGTAGAATTATTCAACGAAATAAATTAAGGTTTTTGTATTCTGGTTCGGATTTCATACACTTCATAAGGAAACCAACACAATGTCAGACAGTCCGGCGTGCGGAAGCATTCTGATTACATTCAAAGTAAAATTTGAATTTATACTTAGAGGCGAACGCACACGGGAGGAAGAAACAAACTTATAAACCGGGAACCCAGTTCGAGTTCTTTACAGCCACGTTCTGTGTACATCTTCAACCTTGTCTTTTGAAGTGCTGATTGCAATGAGCCAATCACGAACGCTGAAGACCGGTGTTTGTTTTATGTTTATGCGAATAAACGTGTGACTGGGTCCGAAATATACACATGATACACTGAAAAATATGGCTTGCACTCTAATTCTGGACTAACATCTCACGAAACAGGAGGTCGAATATAACAAACTGCTTGTCTATTACGTGCCGACATGGCTATCAAGTGTGCTATTACAAAACATATCCAACATGTTGAAAAAATGACCGGAATTGTCGTGGGGTAATTTCAGGTATACCATCAGCAATAGCAATATTCGTTTCATGCTCAGCTAGCAGTTGGTGTCGTTGCAAAAAGCCCTTGATTTGGTGGAAACACAGTTCACATGTGTTGAAATCTGGGGAATACGGAGGCTGATAAATAAGTCCAACCCTGCAATGCCCAAGCATGCCCCGCAAAACGGGTTCCACAAATCGAGCACGGTGAAAACCACAATTATCCATAATAACACAATCCCCACGTTCAAGAACAGCGCTTCCATCTTCCCGCTCTAACTGCAAAACTTCATCAAAAAAATTCAGAAGCTCCATGCCATTCGACGGCCCGTCTAAAATGTAAAAAAAGTCAAGCCCGGTTATCGAGTGCATTAAGTTAACTGTGTAATTCGCATTTGACGCGTAGCGTTGCACTTCGAATGCGGGTACGCCTACAGGCGCACTGCCATAAATTCTATTTCCCGAAGTTTTGATCACCCCAGTTTCATCGAAAAAGTGCAGTTGAGTTGAGTGAAAGGTTGAAATCTCATTCAGATAATCATCTGTTCTGTCGATTACTTCAGTCGTGGTAGATTCACGCGGAATAACTGATATTTTTTTCTGGTCGTGGCGTGCTCATTTCGTGACAATTTGTTTATTTGTGAACTGCTTGGGAGATCAGTTGGATGAAGGATTCCATCAAGAAGCAGTCTTTGCCTGATCTCACTGGCATAAATGCTAGGCTTTATGAGTCGCTGAGCTTCTA